TTTGAAGATCTTTAAGAATAGTTTAGGCAAACGTGTGCAGAATAACAGAGCTGCTGCTGTTCCTATTTTGGGGTCTAGATAACCCTATCCCTAACTCCAAGGATTTTCTGGTATTGTTGTGAACATGAATCAGAACGCTTCCTTGACTATTTCTGACTCCAGCATTATGCTTTTCACAGCAATAATGTTCCCAGTTTCTTACCTATGATAAAGCCCATTCTGTTGCCTGAGCCTTGCAGAACTCCATTCGCGTGCTGATGGTGAGAGGGAGAAGTAGGGGATGTGTTGGGGGGGCACCTGTGTGAAAGTGCTCCAGGCTCTGCCTGTACCTTCACTCCATGTATGACTCCGAGCACTGCAGCATTCCAGTTTTCTTGGAGCTAGTCTTACACAAATACTTTGAGATTAGGTGCTTTTAATATGTATATAGCATAGAAAGAAAAAAAAGGGAAAAAAAGACCAAAATGTTGGTAATAGAGTTTGCAAATGCAATTAAAATTATCTTCCTTCTTCTCCCAAACAAAAATAATGAGTGATATGGGTTTTCTTCAGAAAACAAAGTAGATTATCATTGTTAAGAAACTTCTGTGTTTTTTAATCAAGATTTCTTTGTTCACTTGATTTTATTCCTTAATAGAATAAAACTAGTTTCTGAATCTTGCACTCTGCTGTTTCTTTACAAGCACCTCAACAAACTTTATAGGTGAATACCATGACGATTTGGAATAGTGATTAAAAAAATATTTAATCGTTCTATTATCTGAGAGATCTTGAGTTCAGATACTGGTGTTTTTTTTGAAACCAGAGTTAATTATTCATGCAGTAAGGTCAGGTCCGCTGCTTCAATGACATTAACGTTGTCATTAATGTCTGCTCTGTACTAACATGTACAGTTCCCTCAGACTGCAGACTGGATGCCTGTCTCTACCCATGTAGCTGTGCCATTAGAAGGTATCTTTCCTAATCATTCATTGCCACTCCTGAACTTGGGAGCCTCTGTTTCTCCTGAAACTCCCAATGGAGCTGCTCGTGAGAACACTCTCAGCCCCACTTCATTAGGATGATCTAAATGAGTTTAAGCAGTAGGTATTTGCTGATCCAGCTCATTTTGACAAAAGCCTTTTAGACTATGTTTATATAAGCAGGTAGGTTTAGGAAATAGTATCTGGCAAAGGAGAACTGGTGAGCAGCAAAGGATTGAGCTGGTGAACGTCTTCTTTTTCACCGACACGAGGTTGAAATGCTTTGTCTGTCTGTTACACCTTCAGTGGAGCTACAGTGATGCTGACAGTTTTGAGTTGGTAAATTAGTCCTGTAAAGGAAGAAGAAATAGTACTTCTCTAGCAATTTCTATAGTACTATAGGTGTCATTTAAATTTAATACAAAACTCTACATTTCAAAATTATGTAATTGTTTAAAACAGTGTGTAAAGAAAGATTTTAAAAAAGAGTTAAAGAACATGTTATTTAGCTTTGGGCATGCAATATTTAGTTGATAATACCCAGTTTGTGAACATTTACTGAATTTTCAAAACTGTATTTCAGTATATAATAAAATATATAATTTCAGTATATTTGCAGTATAAGTATGTAAAATCCATGTCAGATTTGAAGGGTTGCATTTTGATTTCTTTTGGAGGGGGTAGTATTTTATTTATCGTAGTTCAAAACTAAACTGATTGTTTGAGTGGAGAAGGACGTTATTTTCCCATCCTAGATAATGCCTCTAGAGTATCAAAATTAAATTAATGAAATTTTAGGAACAAAGTGATATGTTAGAAAACCAGCCTGTGTTACTTTGTTCAAAGCTCAACATGTTTAAATATGCAACCGCATAATGGTATATAAAATGCTAAATGTACCTTCTTGTTCATTACTGGGTTTACTGTTTATTTATGTCTGTGTGCTGCTAATTAAATTTGAGCATCAAAATTTTACTAATTAGCTTTAAACTGTTAACAGTAGAAGGTTAGTAGCTTAGAAAGTATTTTCTATATGCTTATGTAATATCTTAGAGTAAACTTTAATGGTTTGGAAAACAGTAGAAAACATGAAATTGCAAACATCATTGTCATGTCATCATTATTAAAGCATACTGATAAAAGTTATAATTTTTAAGGGATTTGGACACTAAAGAGAAGCAGCTATCATTTAGGAGTGCTGCAACAGTAATATTTTTATATATGCATTGCATCTCATTTCAACATTTAAATTGATTTAACAGTAAGTAAAATAAAATGCTTTCCAGTTTAATGAAATTTTATGCTCTTAAGTTAAACCTTTCTGATTTGCTCCTGTGTGTCAGCTGTTTATCTGCATATCTGTTATAACTGCTGTATATATACTGACCTGCTCAGAATTTATGTTATTGGTTACTTTGAAATATCATTAAAAATTATCCTGGAAGTGACTTGCAATTCCTGAGGTTTGGAATACATTATTAGAGTTTCCAGGGAAAGACAGTTTGGAAGATCCAAGTACTGGGAAACAGCAAGCTATAAAGAAAAAAAAATTCCGTTTGGGGCAAGGAAATATATGTATTAGCACTTCTATTAAGGTGAAGGTTGGCCTTCTAATACAGAGTTAAAAACAGTGTTGAATGATGAGTTATAGTTTAAAGTAAAAGTTTCCTGGAACCAGATCTTGCTTTTAGTTTTGTTTTTTTTTTAGGAAACCGTAAAGAAATTATTTCAAATTATAAAGAAGTAAAACATGTTTAGCAACTGCCTGAACTATATCTTCTAGATATTGATATTGAATATCACTATTTTTGGGGTTGATGTACATTGGAAATGGTGTCAAACCAGTGCTTTCGAGATCACTGGAAAATGCAGACTGGCGATGAAAATGGGTATAAAGTTCGTGTTTCATACTTGTGACCTAAAATGAAAAAGAAGCTAAGAAATATGGTAAAAGCTCAGGAAATAGACTCATACTTAGAAATCTCCAGAGCCATAATGTGCTGTAGTTCTGTAAGACGGATCAGAAACCAGAGCTTGGGCACATAACCTTAAGCTACCCAATGCAAATGAGGGAGCATATCCTCAGGTTTTTGGCAAAAAGGCTTCCTCGCTGTTCGAAGCATGCTATCAGCTAAGCCAGTCTCTGGATGCAGTGCTAACTTCGGCAGTAGAAGAAATGGTTGGATATTCTCTGAAGATTGAAGGCAATGAGGTAAGATACAGCTTAAAACAAGTTGAAAGTGAAGAATCCAAACTGAGTCAGTAATTTAGATTGTGATAGTATTTCATAATAATATAAATTGTTTCTTTCAAGGTTATGAAAAGGAAAATGAGTGTATGCACATTATCTTCTTCCTCTTACCTGATGCTGATAAAATGTATTATACCAGTGTGATGAAAATGTTAAATTATTGAAGATATGAGTTGTAATGCTGTATAAAATCTATTTTGCTCTGTTTGCATGTTTTTTTCCTTTGTAGGCTAATCAGAAAGTCAGACTCAGTTCATACAGTACAGATCTGAAAGTAAAACTAATTTTTTTTCCTGCATATAAATGGATGTAACTTTATGAATAATGGAGAATATTTTTTCATGTTTCAATATTGTATATGCAAGATGTTGCTAATTGTAAAGGGCTTGACAGTCTGCTCACTGGATTTGTTCTGGAGAGAAAACTTTGAAGAAGTATTTAATGCAAAACAAAGCCATTTGTCTAACAAAGCCTGGTTTACGTGAAGCTGCATGCTCTGAATGGATTATTGATTTAATTTATACCGTTTTATGGAGTTACTATGACTGCTTTGAAATCTCCAAGCCTTACATTACCTTCCAGGGTTTTCCTGCTATAGAAATATATCACTAATATGCATATAGAAATCAGGGTCGATGATACTTTTCTTCTGTAATGCTTGGGGGAGAAATTGAAAAAAAAACTTTGCCTCCTCATATGGAGTATCAGCCATGTACATGCTTAGACTAATTTTTTTGTGGTCTGATTTCTTAAGTGGGAAAAAAGTTAAACTGAAAAATAGATGAGCATCAGATGTAAGCCTCAAGAGCCATGGTTTAGAGTACTGAGAATACTTATCTTTGAGGCAAAAATCAGTTTTCAATCTGACTTTTAAATCTAAAATTACATTTTTCTACATCCCTCCGGGCAGACCTCTTTATCCTTATATGTGCTTTTCGTGGTTTAATTTTTCTCTCTTCTGCGAAAAAGTTTAAGTTTGCCCAAGAAAGCTATACTTTTACATAGTTTTAGAATAATGTATCTTCCTAAGGACTGTACTGGTAAAAACCTTTCTTCAGATCTCGTTTCTCTTCACATCTCATTCCTTCTTGTCTTCCATAGAGACTAGCTTTTTTGAGAATTGGTCACTTTTCCTTTTGGGAGTTTTTCATAACTTGAAATACAAAGGCTTCCAAGATGGTAAAAGATAGGTATAAGAGATAAAAAGATAGAGTTTGAACTTCTTTTTTTCTTCTTTAAAAAAAAAAAGCATACATACATACATTTTTAAAAGTTAAAAAAGCAAGCTTTTTAGCTTTTCTTTCTGACAGATTTTTATAGTAATATTTTATAAAACCTTACTGATTAGAAACAATTAGTTTAGTGGGGTTTTTTTTCCTTAAATTGAGTTATTTTTATGAAATAACATGGATTTATGCTAGAGAATCCAAACCACTGGAATGGTATTCAGTAAGCTTGAGTCCAGCAATTTAGAGGATTTACAAATACAGTTCTGAGTTTGTTTCTCTTGCTAAGTAAATAAACTCATAAATATCTGTCTGTACTTTATGATGTTATACTGATGCTTAAATTCCAATTCGTTGAATAGAATGATTTCTGTATTTATCCAAGGTCTTACTCTCTTTGTCGCCATGCATAAATATCACCGAATTGACTATCAAAATGTTTCTCATGGTCCAGAACTTGCCAAAATGTTTATTATATGATGCAGACTGTGTCAAGCCCTTAGTTGTAGTATTCTAAGTTTATTTACGTAACTGTTTACGATTTTGTTGCATTTACTAGGTTTGCTGGGATGGGTAATCTTCTTAAGGTCCTTACCAGGGAAATTGAAAACTATCCACATTTTTTCCTGGATTTTGAAAGTAAGTTCAAACAATTACAAGACAATAAGAGAATCTTTTCCCTGACTTAACAGCAAACTGAGGAGAAACTTTTAAAATCTGATTGCTTGCAGTGTGTATTTTCCAGCACAACCAATCTGTCCAAGTCCTTGTCTCTAAAATCATTTGTTCACTCAGGACTCCTTTTCTCTTCCTTTTCTATTTTTCAGGAACCAAATGGGAAATCTATTAAAAGTTCTCACTTGCACAGAGCTTGATCAGGGGCCAAATTTTTTCCTTGACTTTGAAAGTGAGCAAAGCTTCTTGCCTGGCTTGCCTTCTTTGCTTATTATTTCCTAATAAACTGCATGTGCTTACGCATCATAAAGCAATTCAAAAGGGATTTGCAAACAAATCAAATTACACTTGAATATTGCTTTTTGATATTTATAAACCCATACAAAATTACTTAAATTCATTCTGAGCAGAGAAAGGGGCAGAAAGATAGATATGCAAGTAAAAACTTACCTTGAATTATATGTTTCAAAACATCTGAGCCATTGTTAAATTTGCATATGAATAAACTGGACCTCAGCTTTCTTTAACAAAATTCTACAAAGTAGTGAAGTGGTCAAAGTGTATGTGCTTGATTGCATCTCTCTTAATTGCATGGTTATCCGTTTGCAAAAGAGTGTTTCACATCCTAATTTCCTTGTCACATCTAGACCTGACTCAAAGGTATTTCACTTTGGCTGGTTACGGTTTCCCTGCATGTACTTCTAGACGTTGTCTTGAAAACAGGTCATCAAATCCTTAAATATGGATTTAATCTTACTTCACTACTTAGGTGAAATGCTTTTTATTTAAAATGCTAACAGCGTATGATGTTTTGTCTCTTAATACCTTTATTCTAAAAGAAAAAAACACACACACCCCTCAAAAAAAAAAAAAAACAAAAAAGCTTTGAGAGAAGTCAGTGTTTTTAAAACAACTTTGTTTTGAAGCATGGTTTAAGAGAGAATTTCAGGTGATTTTACCACTTTGAAATAGTTTTATTTAATCATTTATTCCTGAATTATTTTTCTGCAAAACATTACTGACATGATACGAGACCGTATTTGTATACGCACTCTGAAGCACTGGTTCAAAAAGTCATTTAAACACGTACTTCAATCTCATAAAATTGTTCAAACATGCTTTCTTGGATGAGAGCTAGAGTGTATGACTATAACTTTGCACGTATCTTCTCATCTAGATCTTATTTACCTCATTATGAAGAATCAGTTTTAAATTATGGAAAATGTTAATTGGTTAGTTTGGGTTAAGGAGAAGATACTGCAAGCTGCGTATCCCTTTTTCTCTTCTGTCTATATCATTGGAGAATTTTATTGAAAACCCGGGATGTCAAACCTTTATCCAAAACACCACGTATTTTTTTTTCTATCAAACTTTGGAAGACTTTGGTAGCGCTCTGTGGCTTTGCCAAGCTATTGTGAAGGTTTTCAGCTGCTCTAAGCTTCCAGGTTTAATCAGTCCCATCATGGCCTGGGTGGTAAGAAAGTACTTCTGACCCAGGCTGCAGACTTGGCAGGAAACAGGTGATTTGGCAGTGGGAAGCCTTGGTGCAGCCGAGGTAGTGGTGAGAGGAGGAAACATCTGTTTTATTGCCTTGGCACCGAAGGTTGGTTTTTTTTCCAAAAGCACATTGCCAAGAACCGAAGGCCATGAAGCACCCTGTCCCATGGGAGGTGACCGGTGGATAGCGCAAGCACATGGGCATGCTAGTCAGGGACATCTACCCAGAGAGGAGCAAAACTATCATCTCCAAATTTCAGTGAGATTGACACTCCTCAGCGAAAGGTTAAAATGTTTTACTTGTGAAATAAAGTCCTGGAGGTTTTTTGGCACAAAATCTATATTGGGTTAAAGGGATGTGACTTAAGATCCCTGTAGTTGTGTGCTTTGGTCTCTTTTAATTAGCCATTGTACAGTGGAAAAGAACACTCTTAGTGGACGTAGCTAAGAGCCTGCTTGCGTGCTCACTGGACCTGTGACGTTCTGTGGGCTTAGTTTTCAGTTAGAGTTCATGGATGAAAATGGTCACTGCAGTTGGCCATTCAGATATTGAGTTGATGTGTTTACTGTATGTCATTGTTTGCACCGGGATATTACTTTCTAGGTTTTGTGCACTTGCTCGTTAGCCGTAAGCTGAAATCTCAAAGTAAATCTGTCAGCACTACTGAAATGTTTCCAGGTTCTTTGGATACTCCTGCCCTGGTAATTTTTTTGCTGCTCTTTATTTGGTATGTGTTGTACCTGCAAGGAGAGTGTGTAACATACTTCTTCCTGCTATGCATACAATGTGCCACAGAAATACTGCTTAAAAAAACAGAAACAGCTTTTTTCCTCATAGGCAGGAGTAGAACAGATACAATCTGTCCCATGCCTCAAAAATCAGAGGCTTTATTGGCTGACATTCATCAAAAGTAACGCAAGTGTTTTATGTAAAGAAGGTGGGAAAAGAACATTAAGGTGTTAAATTCATTAAAGTTGATTTAATCTGTGCTGCTCCAAAGGGGTCATCCCATGGGTGATGCTTTGCCACGTAGCCTTATATCCTTATGCTGGGATTGAAATGTACAAACACATGATTGCACCCATCGTGAAAGACGCTGTGGTGGATTGACCCTGGCTAGAGGCCAGGTGCCCCCAAAGCTGCTCTGTCACTGCCCTCCTCAGCTGGGCAGGGGAGAGAAAACATAATGAAAGGCTCCTGGGTCAAGATAAGGACAGGGAGAGATCACTCAATGATTACCGACATGGGCAAAACAGACTTGACTTGGGGAAAAATTAATTTAATTTATTACCAATCAAGTCAGAGTAGGATAATGAGAAATAGGAACAAATCTTAAGACACCTCCCCCCACCCCTCCCTTCTTCCCGGGCTCAACTTCATTGCCAGTGTTCTCCACCTCCTCCCCCCCAGTGGCAGAGAGGGACAGGGAATGGGGGTTGTGGTCAGTTCATCACACGTTGTCTCTGCTGCTCCTTCCTCCTCAGGGGGAGGACTCCTCACACTGTGCCCCTGCTCCAGCCTGGGGTCCCTCCCATGGGAGACAGTCCTTCACGAACTTCTCTAACACAAGACCTTCCCACGGGCTGCATTTCTTCATGAACTGCTCCCGCATGGGTCTCTCCCACGGGGAGCAGACTGCTCCAGCATGGGTCCCCCACGGGGCCACAGGTCCTGCTAGAAGCTTGCTCCAGCACGGTCTTCCCACAGAGTCACAGCCTCCTTTGGGTACATCCACCTGCTCCGGCATGGGGTCCTCCATGGGCTGCAGGTGGATATCTGCTCCACCATGGACCTCCACGGGCTGCGTGGGGACAGCCTGCCTCACCATGGTCTTCACCATGGGCTGCAGGGGGATCTCTGCTCTGGCGCCTGGAGCACCTCCTCCCCCTCCTTCTGCACTGACCTGCGTGCCTGCAGAGTTGTTCCTCTTGCATATTCTCACTCCTCTCTTCCAGCTGCTGCATGCAAGTTCTTTTCCCCTTCTTAACTGTGTTACCCCAGAGGCACTACTATCGTCGCTGATGGGCTTGGCCTTGGCCAGCGGCAGGTCTGTCTTGGAGCTGGCTGGCATTGGCTCTGTCAGACACAGGGGAAGCTTCTAGCAGCTTCTCACAGGAGCCACCCCTGTAGCCCGCGCGCTGCCAAAACCTTGCTGTGCAAATCCAACACAGATAGCTATGTGGGAAAGTGAACTTGCTAAGAACTAGCTGAAAAAACCCCACCAACCTACCACTTTATTACTCTCCCCCACCTACTAAATACTCTTCCAGTCAGATCAGGGTGATGTGGATGACGGCAGGATTGGAAGAGCCCCAGCAGTAGCCATGGATGGGAACAGAAGTGCAGGAGAGGATGGCAAGCAGTTGCAGAGATTTCAGTATCTTAGATCAGTCTTGAAGCTACACTGTAAGGTCAGCATAGTAGATTTTTATTTTATTGTTTTCCCTTTATTATCCTTAATTAATACACATTTTATAGACAATGTTTTGTAGGGTTGAGCTGTTCTGTGCAACAGAAATAAATTTATTTTCTTGTGAATTACTATTCTCCAGGGCATAATTCTATGTTTTGATGAAAATTTTGAGGACAACATCTTGTATTGCATCTTTTGAAAAAATAACCTTATGAGGTTTTTGGGTTTGTTTTGGTTTTGGGTTGTTTTTTTACATACCCTTAATTATTAAGTTGCTTTTCGTCAATTACATTCTCACTTTTCTGTTACATATTTTTCACCAACCTGTTCTTTTCATATATACTGTTAGTCCCTCCAGTACATCTCTTCTATGCAGTTCTTGAGATCTTGAAAATTGGACAGATAAAACCAGGAAAATTAAATTTAGAAAAATTTTATTTTTTAATTTAGAAAAGTATAGAAAAATTAATTTAGAAAAATTAATTTGTCTCACCTAATTCAAAGTTTTTTTTTCAAATTCCACCTTGTACTGTATTTGAAAATTGGAAAGAATCAGGAAAGAAAAAGCATTTCAAAATTTCACCTCCCATTTTTTTTTAGCTATTTTACTTTTTTTCCCTAGAAAATTTTAGGCTGCAGAGAAAAAATTGTTTAAGATACTTTCTTTTTCCCCCCTTTCCTGCAGCTGTCTATATCAGGAGTTGCAATTCTTATGACACCTTTTACTGGCATTACTTTTGATTCCAAACTGGGAAGCAAGTTTCCTAACTCCATGGTCATACTTGAAAAAGTTTGAATCCAATATTAATTTCAGTTAATGTACAGCAAAAGCAGTTCTGTGTGCCCTCCAGTAATCATTTTAGAGTTAGGCAGTTAACTCTGGATCTGTGTAAGGAGATGCAATTTGAAGATCCATTCGGTCCAGCCTTGAAGGCAATCAAGGGTGGATGGCAACTGTGGTAACCTCAGCAAGTGATATGGAGAACAGTATTTTCCTATGCAGGTAAAAACGCCTTTTCTTTGAGCTGAAATTAAAACTATATGCATTCAGCC